AGTCCGATCAGGACGTTCTTGCAGTCGCTGGCGCCGCGGCCCCAGAGCCATTCGCCGTCGAAGTGGCCATCGAAGGGGGGGTAGGTCCAGTCGGCGGGGTCGTTGATGGGCACGACGTCCTGGTGCGCGGTGAAGAGCAGGGGTTTGAGCGAGTCGTCTGTGCCATTGAGGGTGAAGACGAGACCGAATCGGTTGATGTGATCTACGCGGGCGTAGGAGTGGCTGGATTGTGTTAGATGGAGTTGCGTGGATGGGGACTGCGGACGTACGTGAGGGGGAAGAGGGTCTTTAGGAGGTTCTGGAAGTCGAGGAATGGAGCGAACTTCTCGTCGTAGGGATCCTTCATGTAGTCGTCGATTGCGGTCGGGACCTGGACGGCCCTGGAGAGACGATTGACTTGACGCGACTTGAAGGAGGCATCTTCTACGAACTTGAGAGCTGGGAAGAATCCGTCGTCAGGGACCTCAACCTTGGGTGCTAGCGGACAGAAGCCGTCGGTGTGCTCTCCGAAAGTAAGAGAATCGAGGATTTGCTGCGGGGAAGGGATGCTGAGGGCTGCAATTGAAGGGGCAAGCAGCCCTGCGACAAGGGGAAGCAATTGGAACTTGGACATTTTCAATTCCATTCCTGGGACATTTTCTGCAGAAGATAGGAACCCTGGGGGAATCGGAGGATAATAATGAGGAGAAGGGCAAGGCCGAGGCTACGTCAAAGCATGGGGTTATCTTATCGCAGAGTTGCGCAATCATTGCCGTGATAGCCTTTCCCCTCTCCGTATCGCTCGGGTTGATAAGTTTGCCGGTCGGAGAGCGGACGGAACCGCTCTGCTGGGGAAAGAATTGCCATAGCAGGAAGGTCGAGGCAGGCGAGATGAAAGTGCGGTAAGCAAGCTTGAGTAGATTGATAGCATGCAGTAACGGGTTCTGTGATGCATTGGATTGGGTATATAGCGGAGAGCTTCATGGAGGTATTGGAATTGAGTTGCAATGGCAGTGACACTAAGTCCACTCATTGATAGACCAGCAAGACCTCAACATTGGATTATTTTCCACCACAATGTCAATCAATGAAATCAATGAACCCTCAGCATAGCATCGGCCGAACCCGTCCAGCAGCGATCTCTCCTGCGTAAAGGTGACAAATCAAGGGATGCAATGTTAGTCATTAGTCTCACAAGGATTGCCAATAGCAACACCCCTTTCGTTCACTTGTTGCATATTATCGTCGGTCGGCAACATTGGCAGTCAACATTGACTGGCGGATTTCACCAGTCCGGGACTTCCCCCTGCCATTGTAGGGGATCGTATCAATTGTCAAACATGAGAATTGTTCGACACAGCAGCCTTGGCCTTGGCCATGAGGCTGTCTGCAACAAATTCTGCAGACGTCAGTGCATCTCCGTGGCGCGATCAAGCTTGTGGATGACCGGCGCTTAACATGGCCGGTGATTTATGCGGGAGATTCGAACACTGACAGAAGCAAATTAGCGGAGTGGCTGACGCTAAAGCAGAGCGAGTGCGACTAAGTAAGAACTATAAGAATGTCGAGGGAGACGAGGAAGAGTGAGGCCCAAAAGGGGGAGAATTGGGAGTATCAGGTGCCAGTCTCGTGATCGACACCAATCGAGGCGAAAAAGTACAATGCAGCTTCAACATGGCTCCCTTTTAATCCATTTCTCCATTCTGCCTGCCAACTCTGCCTTCCGACTTTGGTTCCATGGGTCAGGAACAAAACAAACAACAAGCGAGCATCCACCACTGAAGATGCTAAGAATACTACTACTATCTAGGTAGCCCCAGTCCGACCAAGACACAGCCTCATCTAACAAATAAAATTTGTCGCAGACCATGAACGTCATCCTCCTCTCCACAGGGGCTCCCCAGCCTGACGACATCTACAGGGCCAAAAGAGTCTGACAATCGATAGTCGGCCGCGTGGTGGTCTCAGAAAGCAATAGTGCGACGATCGTTACATCACCGGAACAAACAACATCCCTCGCTCGGGTACCTGGCGAACGGTGTATCCGCATTGCGGAGGCTTGTAGCCACTCAAATGGGTCCTCCCAAGACCAACTCCGTCAACTCGACAGGAACCATGATGAAACATCGCCCCCAAGACAGCAAGGGATCGTCCATAACGCGCGGGACGTGGAGCCGAGCGAACCATTTTGGAATCCGGAGAATCAGATGGGCGTTCGTTCACGCGATCTTCAGATCGGCATTCTACTGCGTTTCACACGCCGATTTTTGTGTCAACTTCGGGTGTTCCAAAATCCCAAGGGGTTGGGTCGGGTGCCAACCCCATCCTGAACGATGGGATAATCGGATGGATCATATTTAGGTTATGCCTGCCAGTGAGTTTTGCTGATATCAGTTGTTTCAGTTCGTTCTTTTATTACTTCCTCTCGTTTTCCTGCCAGTATATAACTGCTACTACATACATACAAAATCCACTCTCGTTCATTGAAGAAAAAAACGAAAAAGGAAAAAGCCTTATAACTTCCATTCTTTCATTGTCCTTCAAAATGCCTAAAGCCAGTGCCACCAAGATCATTTCCCTTTCAATCCTCTCCTTCCTCACTACTGCTTCTGCCTACACCACCGCAGGCTGCTATAGCAGTGCCGGCCAGCTAACCTCAGCGGGCACATATCAATTCCAATCCGAAGGCTACTGCCAGCAAATCTGCACGAAGCAAAACAAGCCCGTCTTTGCCCTCCACAATGGCGACGAATGCTACTGCGGCGACTCCCTGCCTCCTTCAACAGCGAAGGTCTCTTCCACCCAATGCCAGACCCCTTGCTCGGGATTCCCTTCTGAAACTTGTACGTATACCTCCATTACGCCCTCATCTATCGCCTTTACAATCATAAACTAATACATACTGCACTATAGGCGGCGGCGCCAATGCATGGCTAATCAACAACTCCACCACTGTCTCGGAGTCCACCACCGACGACAAACTTGTCACAGAACTGAAACGTGAATCCACCGACAACGTCGAGAACGGCATCGTGATTGCCCCAGAGTCCGATGACTCCGACTCGTCCTCGGGATCCTCCAACTCCTCCCCTGATACCATGAAAGTCAACCCTACCATGGTGGAGACCGGTATCCCCATCGCCAGCTCCGCTGCAGACGGAGGCGCAGCCAAGTCTACTGTCCCGAGCGTGATCCTTACCGCGCCGTCCATGACGGGCGTCACTGTCCCTGCTACTGGTGCTGCTGCGGCCTCGTCGATGGTTGTTGCTGCCTCGTCTGCTTCTGCGTCTGCAACCGCTACTGCGTCCGGAGCCGCGAGCAGTGGTTCCGCCGCGGCGAGCCCATCAACTAGTGCAGGTGCTGCTGCTGCTATCGCAGGTGCTCCTGCTAGTGGGATGATCGGGGGTGTGTTCATGGCGGCAGTTGTTGCGCTCGGACTGTAGATATCTCTTTCTACATTCGACATTCTATCTTTTGGAGTATAGATATAGTTACGTGGGTCCAACAAGAGGGGAAGCATTATCTTGTATAGATAGTTACGGATGTACGGTATGGAAGCGGGGCTAGGCATTGATTGAAATAAGGTACATACCTATAATAGGCTGGGAATAATCGCGGGTTCGATGCGACATGTACTTTTTGGTTTCTGCTGAGCAGTAAGCTAATTTCTTAGTGATAGTCACTTTCGTTGTTTAAGATATCCCTATTTCAATTTACCTATACTATATTTCACTATTCCTTTCGAAACCCACTCCACAAATAACGCCATCGGCCCTAAACAATACCACACCTCATCTCCATCGGAGTTAATTACCCCATTAGATAAGAACTAAGCAGCAGTAGTCCGCAGGATCACTGAGGCTAAGCAACTCAACTACTGCCTATACAGACTAGATAAAATCCTCAACGTACCAACCATCTATCTGCCCAGTAGATAGATACAGAATACGAGAGCACCGACACCATACACAGGTAAAGTCGGTGAGTGAGAATCCCCGGCCCCCAATCCACAGCCCATTCATTCGTCAACCCCTCCCCCTTAACACCACCGATACAAAGATAATAGGTATCTGTCTGACCAGCCCTGAAATCCGCCCCCACTTTTGTCCTGCAAGGCTCTGAAGGAAAAAAAAAAAAAAAAAAAAAGGAAAATACTGGAAGGCCTGAACGTAGTCGATAACCAGTCATCTTATAGGGATTTAATGTATTCTGCACTTGCAGGCAGGTATTATTAGCTGCCTGCCTGCCTTGTAATAAGTGGAATTTACTTATGTTTAGTTGGATTCGCAATGCGGCGCGCGCCCCTTCGTCTTCTTTTTTTTTACTCTTTCGCTCTCTCTTGGGCAGAAGTGTCCTGGGGACACGAGTGACTTTGTGGTTTTTTTCTTTCCCTTTCTCTTTCTAGTTGATTGATGAGTTTCTGGGGTCGATTTTCTTTTGATCTAATAGTCTAGAACGTGGTTCTCATCCCCCCCTCTTTTCGTCTTTCAGTATGATTGTCAGAGGGATCAGAGCGACTGCGCTACTCTGTCTCCTCCTCGCAACATGCACCCCGACAAGCAGCGCAACAGCGACATGCTACTTCCCTGACGGCACCATCGCAAGCAACAACGTTCCCTGCTCGTCAGACACGTATTCCGCATGTTGTGGCAAATCCGACGTCTGTCTATCGAATAACCTCTGCATGGATACGGGGGAACAGCCGTATGTTCTGTCCCGGGGGGCGTGTACGGATCCGAACTGGGAGTCGGATAATTGTCCGTCTGTTTGTCGTACGTACATACATGATACTTCCAGTGTTTTTCAGTAAATTTTAGTATTGGTGAATGATGATGGGGGAATAACGCTAATCTTTGGTTCTTCTGTATTGTATAGAAAGTATCAACAAAGACGGCGGCTGCTCGATAATAAATCTTCTGTATGAGAATGGCGTCTCGACTTATTGTTGCGGTACTCCGATAAGCAACGGCAGTGATGTGATTTGTCCGCATGGAAACTCGTTTGAGGTTGCTACCGGGAAGATGCTGTATGGGTATGCGGCGCTTGCGAACTCTACAGCGGATGCGTCGTCGGGGAATAGTACGTGTACTTCGTCGAATTCGTCGGCCTCGGTGGCATCTTCTTCGGCCTCTTCGTCTTCCTCCTCGTCTTCCGCGGGGCGGGATACAGCCATCGGTGTTGGAGTTGGGGTCCCTCTGGGCGTCATTGCGGGTGCTTCGCTTGTGTGGGCGTTTTGGGAGAGGAAGGAGAGGAAACGGATGCAGAGATCCGGTGGTAGTGTTGATGGCAACCTGGCAATGGAGCAGGGGTACTCTGCGCCCATGGTGAAGACACAGCGACCGCCAGTTGAGTTGGAAGTCAATGGTGCGAGGCATGAGCTGGTATCATGATGCTGTGAGTTGATTGATAGTTCAATGTCCCCTTGGTTTCATGAATGTACGAGATACACATTGATATTTGACAAGCTGAATAATAGCATCAGCAAGTGCTATATAATAATTCATTATGAGAAAGCATTGTGTTGAGTGTCCGAAGGGTTGGCATCAGTGCTCTGAACGTTCAATTCATTGAACGAAATGCCACTCGTGCCTTGACTCAAGAAAGCAAGCGCATCTTGATCCAGGTCGCTTTCCAGAGATACGTAATCCTGAAGTTGCATGTTCATCTTGGCAATGCCAGGGAACCCCAGAAGTGACCCTGTGACCGGTCCGTCGAGGAAAAAGCCTGGATCGTATGTCTCACAAGGGTCCTCCGACAGCGATAAGGTCTGATCAATTGCCATGAGCGGAAAAGACTCTGAGTCAGGAGCAAGAGACGGATCTGCAATCTGTCCAACGCTGAGCCCTGGATCGATTAGAGGGACATTTGCGGAAGACGAGTTACTCGATGGTGTCTGCGCGTGCTGACAGGAAAGCAGCGCTGTTTGGGGGATGGAGGATGATCCAAGCTGTTGGAACGCTTGCTTCGCACGCTTCATTCTCTTTTTCACCGGCAGTGAAGCTGCTCCAAGTCGAGATATTACGTCTCCTTTACAGGCTTGGTGCAGCTGATCAGCAAGGTGGGCTAGCTGATTCTGTCGCGAGCCAATCATATTGCGCTCCTCGATCGAGCCATGCTCATGTTTCGCATATATGTACGAAAAGCCCCTGCTGCAAGTGTCCAAAGCATACAGAATTATACTCGATTCATCAACGCTTCGAAACTCTTGCGCAGGCATCAGATTTGACACTTTGGAAGGCCTTTGTTGAATAATGGTAAGAAGCGCAGAAGCCGACTGGCAAAATGGACCGATGACAGACGGCGAGATCGCCGGCCGCTTTTGATCATTCTTGTCTCCTGAGAAGAGCATATGAATAGCAATACTATGATATGCACTTAGAAGAAAAGACCGTGACGATGCGACGGTGACCTCGTTCTTCACCAGCTCGATGGCATTGAGAAGGATCCTATGCATCCTCGACGCCAGAACAGATCGATCAAAGCAAGGCTGGAAAAGCTGATGTAACTCGTGGAGATGCTGTTTCTGCCATGGCACAGATTGCTTATCTTTGTTCTCTGTGGGTGCATTGAGATACAGGGTGTAGATATGGGCCACTGTACTGGTGATGTGACTGAGTGGCCACAAGCACTGGGTAGCCTGAATTTGTGCCTGTAGCGTGGAGATGTTTCCCGATGCGCGATCTAGGCGGAGAATAGCTGAAGCTGCCTCATCCAGGCACGGGAAGTCGGGCGTCGTTTCCGGAGTGAGCAGCGAGAATGGCTGATTGCTTTGCATGAACCCCCATGTTGTGGTGGCCAGGCAGATCCAGTAAACATTCTGTGCCAATTCTTGCTCGACGGCACCTACATCCACACCGTTGAGCTTTCTGCTACACTTTCTGTGATCACCCGCCTGCCAAAAGGTGTACAAAGTGGCAATTATGCGACAGGCGTAGCCTGTGAAGCAGGTGGCACGTCGGGCATGGCCGAGGCACAACTCCCTCCATCCCACCATAAACAGTGCCTGGGCTGTAGAAAGAACGGAGGGGTGTCCAAGCACCACTGTGCGCTGCTTCAGCTGCAATATAGCAAAGTTGGATAGTGTCTGAGGATCGATTGGGGCACAATTATGCAGCCCGCTCATGATGGGCTGTATGTCATATGCATCAGCCAGTATGACGGCTAGAAGAGCCTTATCTACTGTATCATCCTGGATTGCTGTAGCTAGAAGTGTTTTAGACACCAGAGGTGACAATGGATGGGCCGAAAACCACACATCAACCAATTGAAGAATCAGATGCCTCCCCAGCACCATCAACGGGTCGACAGCAGACTCGAGAGGGTCAAACATCGTACGCGTGGTGTCCGCTGCCAGAGTTGATACATAAAAGTTTTGATTCGGGGCCTCCAACTGCTGAACTCCTAGGTGACTAAAGCGGAGCGGCAGGATGCCCACCATCTCCGACGCCATAAAGGACAGCAACCCATCATAGCTCAAAGGAAGCTGTATTGAATGGATTGGGGTTTTCCGAGGAGACTTGTCCAACTCCCGTTGATAGGTAGCGATTGCAGTTTGGAAGATATTGGAGCCCGAGTCAGTCTTCGTGATAAAGTAGGCATTGAATCTCCGCTCCAGCTCATTGCCAACATGAATATTCAGGTCGGAGCTGGTTGCAGATTCCTCGTAATTTTGCACTTGTGAATTAGGCGTCAAGGAACTCTCTGCGTTCGCTCCTGGCCGCGACGAAGTATTGCTACTATCATGTAGCTGAGACGTCAATGGACGCAGTGAAGTTGTTGTTCCCCTCTGCGTGGGCCGGCCCTTTCGAGCTTCCGGACTGTATTCGCAGCTGAGGTTACGCTTTTGACAGGCACTGCAAATAGATTCACCGGAACATCGAATCTTCCGGGTACGACAGAAGACACAGCTGCGTCGCAGACCCATGATGAGCTAGGGACGCACTGGGAGGGAAATAAATGTGTCTACAGAACATCAACATGGCGGATGGTTGTCAGCACAGCCTCGTCATGTGAAACAGCCCGAACCCACTGCCCAAATTGGCAATAGTTCTGGTATCATGCCCTACTAAAGGCATGTATGGCTTTCAACATAAACTTTTCTACACTACATCGAGCTGCAGGAGGCAAACAATTATTCCTCCTGTCCTAGAGATCGGATCTGCTTCCCGTACTATATTATATTAGCCGACATGCAATATGATCGCTCAGCACGATCTGCAGAACCCGATCTAGAAGTCTCCTTGCATGTAGAATTGCCCGAATGAGCTACCGACCAGAACTAGTATCTAATAATATGCAGCGATCTGAATGATCAACACCAGACTTCATTGCGGTGACGGTCGACTACAATAGACTAGTTGCCTTACTCGATAGCTCCCTGGCTATATAAATGGGATCATACTTCCAGCTCTTGATCATTATTCTCTACACTCTACACTCAGATTACTTTCAATTCCAACATACAACCACCAAAAGCCAACCAACCAATATCCCTGACCACCATGAAGTTCTCTGTTCTTTTCACAGCCCTCTTTGCAGCCCTCGTCACAGCTGAACATGTGAAAGGCGGTGGCAAAGTGTCTGCACATGGAAAGCGCCAGGTAAGTAACTAAGCTGTATACATCATTGCCTTCATTCACAAAGAAGGGATACTAACTTCATAACTAAACTAGGATCTTGAAACGTGCCCCACCACTGACGCCCGCGATTGCTGTTCCGCTTGCTGGGGTGCTTCTCAGTACACTCATATTGACATCCCGGAGTGCTGCGGCAAGTGTGGCTGCTAAGGGATCACTAGAGATAATTTGCTTGGGGGACTGGCAACCATGTATTTCATAAAATACGCTGTCTTGTGCTCCGAGAATTAGCAGTGATCTACCCATTTGTACCTGTTTCATCATGTCTTGGCTTAGGTTTTCCCTACTGGTGAAGGTTTCCCTATGCTGTTATGCGAATGCAAAGGCTTGATCAATATTGAATCCATGACTTTTTCTTTTGGTAACTAAAATATAGTCGTAAATTGTGCCTGACAATAATGTGTCTTCTGAGGAGTGAAGTCGTGTTTACTTTTTTTGTAGACATCGTCCATGCCAGTCTGTAATCACCTTACCTTTTCCAAGACGGACTGACTATGGGGAGATAGTAATGACTTATTTGAATGTAAAAGACCATTAACGAACAAATCATTGGGTACAATCTGATACCCCGAAATTAGCAATTAATACTGATAACAAACATTATTGAGAGTCGCTGCATTATCCAATCGTTCATAAACTAGACTCCAGTAATAGGCCTCAACGTATCCCGGTATCCCCAGAGGTATCATAAATCATGTCGTCACACAAAGCATTATCAAAAGTCCCTGCTCTGAACCCACAGACAGTGTCCACTTTATTCCCTACGATCTGGGTCAATACCTTGATCCCGGAGCTTCTTCTTGTCCACCCCCTTCATCGTCACGTCTACAAAATTCTTGGGGATCGGTAGGGACTCCCTAAGTTGATCAGTGGATTTCCTACATCAGAGAGGCAATGACGACTTACCGAAGGAATTTGATCCTCAAGTTCCTCGCACGATCCTTTATCTGCACCTGGTTCCGATTTTCGAATCGGGCTTCTCCCTCCCTTTCAGGCTGTATCGTGTTCTCGTCTTCGATCTTCGTCCACGAAACACCGTGCTCTTCGATCAAACGTATCAACCGGCGATCTTCGGCATCTGTCCAGCCTCTGGTTCTCCGCTTAGGTACCGGTGGTGGCATCGACTGGCGGTTCTCTGCCTGCGGCGAAGGGGCCTGCGTACGAACCGGGGAACCAGCAGCTTCCTGCGACCTGGACCGATGTCGAACCTGGGCCTCGTCCCCGGCTCCTTCATGGCCACTGTCTACCCTTGCGCGCTTGCTTTGTCGCGCCTGCGCGGGCTTTTCGGCACGCCGGCGTTCCGTAGCCACCTCACGGTCATCGGTATCATATTCCTCTTCGCTCTCAGAGACAGTCTCGGTTTCACGTCTGCGTTTGGGGGGCCGTCCACGAGGTCTCCGTTCCGCACTTCTCGGTCCCGACGTCTGGCTGACCGGAGAAACGCGCACTGCGTTTTCTTGGCGGTCGATAAACGCAGGTCGTGAGCTATTAGAAGCTTCTGGAGTGGCCCGCGACCGAGAATTCGCCATGTTCCAGACATCCCTGCTTGAGGGGAGCGAAAGGTGGTTTTCCATTCTAGGAGGCGCCAATGTAGACGCAGGCTCCCTGCGGGGTCTTGGGACGGACCGATTCATCGGAGGACTATGGGACCTCTCCGGATGGTTCTCGGTATGCTGACTTATATCAAGTGGTTCGTCGCATACGAAAAGTTCGGTGTCTTCGGCCGTTGTGTGTTCATCGTTCAGCCGGGTGTCTTCATGTGTCTCATCGCCATCATTCAGCTGCGTATCCTCATAAGCCTCAGTGTCATCGTTAACCTGCGTTTCATCATTTACGAGCGTGCGAGAAGCGTCAAAGGTAGTCTGGACCTCATTGGGCGGTGCTGGGTCCGTTGACCTCTGGCGAGGTGGGATTGCAGACACAGTCTGTCGCCTGTCGGCTGCAGGCTGATCTGCCACTTCAGAGGCATTGGGTACGACTGAGTCAGATTGTCGGCGAGAGGTTGACGCATCAATTGACTGACGAAGCTCTTGCCTTCGTTGACCCATCCGGGCGATAGCGTCTCGGTTATTGAAGGGGCTTTCCTCGGTTAGCCCATGGACAAAGGGTGAATTCTGAGGATACTCACTATTTGCGAAACTTCTTCTGAGGCCTGGTCTCAGAGGGCTCTTCTGTTACAGCAGAAGGCAAAACATCGCGGGCGACCGAAGCGACTCTGGGCGCGCTTCTCTCTGGTTCAATGATCTCTGGGACTGTGTGAAACGGGTTCTGGGCAGACATGGGTGTTGCAACCTTTTGTGCATTTGTAGAAGCGGTCGCAGGAGGCCTTGCTTGCGACGAAGGCTGCGAGACCTGTGGCGTACCTGAAGTAGTAGCAGACCTTCGTGCTGTATTCTCAGCCGTCGCTAGACGATTGGAAAAGCGCCCACTGGGCGTGGACAACGCCGGAGTGCCGCTGATACTTTGACGTGACTTTGCAATGGTGTAAAAGCTCTCATGCATGTCTATGGAGCTCATTTGGCCTTTCAAGTCATTGTTCACCTCGTCACACCTCTTGCGAATCCATCGGGCGGCCTGCATGACGAACTTCTGCCAGCGGTAGTCACCCTTGAGTGCTTCGATAGTACCGTCGACTTCCAGAACGACTCGCATATCGTCATAACGGCTTTCAACGTCACTCCGATATTTCGATGGAAGTTCCCCTCGGGCATCAGTGAACCTCTCCAGATTGAAGCCGCGAAACCGACGCTCCGCATCGCTGGGTGCGTCCTTGGGCGCGTCCAAGAAGAAGCCAGTTGTCAGTATCTCAACTGGGTCAAAGTCATCATCATTCTGATGTGCCTCAAGCTGCATTATCAAGTACTGTGTGCGAATCTCTAGAGCCAGCTCCCAAGTCTCCTTCTCCAGATAGCTCTCATCAACAGATTTCTGAGCACCCCTTTCCACCAGATTAGCCATGAAAGGCGACGGAAACTCATCATGGATGGTGGAAATTGCCTGCTCTGGAGAGGACTCAGTACCAGGTGTAGCCAGGAGCATTCGCAACGCAAAACGAGCACAATTGGCTTTGTAGAGAACCGGCTTCGAGTAGTCTTCAAGCCCACTGACTTCCACAATGTACTCCACATCAAGATAAGTGAGAGGGCTCTTTTGACCAAAGTACTTCGCTTCATGGTTCAAGTTAGTCACAGACCGCTGCAGCCGTCTGCTCTGAGTGCCAGCAGGATCCCTCAGCTGCTTCGCCCTGCTCATGATGCTGACGGGATCTGCCGACCCAGGAACGAGGAAATCAAGTACATTGGCAGCTGCACGCTCCAAGTCCGGCAGTGCCTCAACCATAATATCCACATCCAAATCATGATCCGGTTCTGAGGGCAGAATAGTTGTACCGGAGATGTTGTGTTCATCTTCCGGAGTCTCAGGAATGACCTGGTTCCCATACTGGGGGCCGGTCTTCTGAGCCGACCTTTGCGGTGATTCTTCAACCACAACATCTAAGCCTGCACCAAGAACAATGAGAGGCGCCCCAAAGAACCACTAACAGTACTAAGAAAGAGACTCACCCTTCCCGCTCACTGGCTCCTTACTTTGGGTGCCCCACCTTCTCCGACCAGCACCTGCCGACGGCTCGCCATCATCACCACCACTACCACGAGGAGCCTGTTGAGTTCGAAGTTCCTCTAACTCTCGACTCTGACTTCTGGTGACACGTCTCCGCATAGGACTCCCCGTCCAGACCCCTTGGCCTTTAGACAAACCAGTCGAGGATTGTGCGACCTCTCGTGACTGAACCAGCCGCGCCATTCTGCCACCACAACAAACGCGTCCGAGAAGAATGGAAGGCGGTCAGCCGTCCGAGCACGTGAAATCGCGGAGCTATATACTCCAGAAGGTCTCCTATCGATGCTAGAAGCCTCAAATTGATGCAAATTGGTGATTACAACTGTGGTTTTGATGCCGCGGTGATGTTGTCGATGGCTGGGACAGCGTAGAGTACGGAAAAGGACACTGGTGGTGTGTTGGGGTACTAGCGGTGAAACCCTTGGGGTAAGTTGCTTACTAAGTGCTTAATAAGATGGTGCACTAGGCCCAGGTAGGAAGGCGGTATTAAGAAACCCTTAAACCCTACATAAACCCTAACCAAAACCCTAGAAACCCTACAGTTTACCATGTATTATCAGACCATGAATTAGAGGACCATTTCGACTACCACCACTATTAATGGATCCTTACTATCGAAGAAATGATTGTTAAAAGGACATGAACCTGTGGATATCAGACCTCAGTCCATGTGACTGATATGTACGCACGTACGTCCGCTTTCAACTGCCATTAGGGTTTAAGAATAGAGAATGACCTACATACATAATAGCTTAGCCCGCAAAGCCACTGGGCCGAATCTATGACTGATGTTCATTCTGCAAAGGTGCTAGGCCGGTCATTGAATATGGATCTTCAACTTCTCATGAACATGTGCTAGTGCGCTCATTGTACTCAAGGGTCTATTACAAACTACTAGGCATGTTTGGTAGAATGAAAAGGATGAAGCTGTGGTGCAGAGGATAGTTAAAATGGTTTTTGATGGGCAGTCGTGTTGTTTGGTTTTGCTCAGACTTTGGATGTATTCTTTGTCTTTTGACGCGGTACCAATATTGGCCTGATAGACTGGACGGGTATATGCTTGGATTGAGTGTAACTGATTACATGGATTGTTGGAGTTGATTGCGCTCACTGTGCAGCACATGCTAGTTGCCCTACTGAGGTTAGTCCGAGGAACAAAAGTACTTGACCAGGATAGTCGCATCGATACACTACAAAATACGCATCACTGTGAATGATAAATCTAATTATACTGCATCAAGAATTTTATTAAAACATCGCTAAGGCGCGAATATTACAAGCACCATATCGCATAATCTATACTGAAGAGAACCACCCGATATGTGAGACACAAGCGGGAGCAAATGAAGGTCTAATAGATGGCTTCAACCAAGTAGATGACACCAAAGACCAAGAATGCCGTGGCACCGCCCAGCGTTACTGTGACACGTTAGCAACAGCCGTGAAACTAGAAAGGAGGAGTACGTACCGACGCGCATGCTGACCTTGCCAGCAATAGCACTGCCGCCAATAACGGCGGCCGCAGTGCAAAGTCCGTGTCCGGAGATAGCACCGATGGTCACCCACCAGTAATCTTGACCGGCAGCCATAGCAATAGTTGCAATCTGACTGCGGTCACCCCACTCACCCAGGAAGGTCATAACGAAAGTCTGAACCCAGGCGGGACTGAGAAGGAGCGAGAAAAGGTTGTTCATTCCGACAAGAACATCATTCCAGCGGTTACCAGAGGGAGAGGAAGCACGAGAGGACGACGATGAAACACTCTCGGGAGGTGAGGGAAGACGGTTGCCGGAGGAGCGAGACTTGCGACGACCGACGCGGCCAGCCTCCAACGAGTGGGGAGTCACGGACGAGCGGCGACGGTTCATACGCAGCTGCTCCTGCTCCTTTTCTTCCAGCTCCATTTCAACCTCCTTCATCTCCTCTCCAACACCCTCGTCGGGCGACATTTCGCGACCTTCCTTGAGCATCTTCAAACCGAACACGAAGAACAGAACGGCAGCCAACAATTTCGTCAGAGACTTGGGAATCAGAGTAGGTACTGCGTGTCCTAGGACAGCGGAGAGAACAGTCATGAAGATGAGGGCGCTGAAAGCGGCGGAGAAGACGAGCAGACGCGGATGACGCATAGCCATGAGCGCGGCAACCAGGAAAGTCTTGTCACCAATTTCAGATACGATGATCATGGTGAAGGAGAACAACAACGAGTGGAATGCAGTTCCCTCCTCCAGCGGCTCGCCAGGCTTGTTGCCCGAGGAGCCATGCTTATCGAGACCGAGAGGGCTATCTTTGACCGTGGCCGGGGACTTGGGAGGTGGGATGTCGTGGGGCTTTTCTGGCAAATCTGCGGGTTTCTGAAATACATCAGCAAGCGTCATCTAACCTCATGATAAAGGTCTCAAATACCTCCAATTTTCCGAGGGTTGAGTCGGTGCTCGATCCCTTGGTGTCCTTGACATCGGCATCCTGACCCGCCACTGGCAGCTTTTGCTGCTCACTGTGCGGCAACGGAGGAGCCTCCTTCGGACTGCCCGGCGTCTTTTCATTGTTGTATGGTTCCCTCAGCTTCTCAGACACCCCACCTTCTGTCCCACGAGTACCCTCCTTGGGGCCCGTCCGATGAGGATCATCCATCACGCCGTCGTTGGAGTAGGGAATTGGGTTGCCATCAGGGCCCAATTGTTCCGCTTTAGGATCGGACTTTGCCTTTTCCTCCGACAAGGTGGTAGAGCCCGTCTTCTTGCGATCCCGCTCTGCACTTGTTTCCACCCAGGGACCCGCATGTGGCCGACCATCCTTGCCGTCGATCGGGGCGTCCAGCGTCCCTTTGGCGGGCTTGGGTGCGGCGGCGGCATCTATTTCGACGGCATTTGGAGTCGAAGCTTCGCGCTCTGCGAGAAGAGCGTCTTTTGCACCGTTGTTGGCCGAGCTCGGATCCGTGAGCGCGACCGAAAGCGCAGGAAGGAGGAAGAGGAGAAGCGACGAAGAGTGAATCTTCATGGTGTAGGGCTATTATCGTCACAGTTGGATCAATTGCAAAGAGATTAAAACGTAGTGTAGATGATACAAGCAGTAGTCCACATGAACGGATAAGAAAAGGCCGTAAATCAAGGATTGACGAGAAAGTTTGGTTCCAGGTACGTCGATCGGTGTAAATCAAGCCACGACAGCGATCCGAGCGGACTCAAGACACGCGATCGGGAACAATGGCGAGACGAGAAACGAAGCGCGGAGTCAACGAAGTGGACTGGTCATATGAAGCAAACAAGTAGAATACATGCAAGAAGGGAAAGGAGCGAAGCCGATAAGCGGTCGTCGAGGGTGGCAGGAAGCAGGAATCTGGGAGGTTTCTTTTCCGGCCGCAAAGGGGCAATGCCGCCTCCACATCACGTGGTGCCCGCTTGCGGTGGTCTGGTTCCTTCCCCATTTACTATTAGTTAGTAGTAATAATCCCTCCTCCACTCCTTGGCCAGCCATCGTCTGGCTTGCAACTGGCTGCAATCAATGCAACAATTTCTTGTTTCAGCTGTCTCATGATGTACACAATTTGGGGTAATTCTGGGGTCTAGCTGAGCCTGCTTGCACTGTATTTTAGTAGTCTCACAGCTGAATGCTGACCCCTCAACCCAATCGGGCGTGGTTGAATTTAGATGACTGGCGGGCCGCCGACTAACTAGTACTTAAACTAACTATTAATATCCCCCCTCTTTGATAGTTGTGCCTGGCTGCCTCCCCATCTACATCTCTCCGGGCGCTGCACACTTATTAGTACCACCCACGAAACACTTGGCCTGGGATCTATCTACGTACTCAGCTTCCAGTGCAATCAAGTGCGTACTTGATGAAATGAGGATCTTAATATCATTATCCTACCGAATGTGAATCATGGCAGATGTTCTTATCGCTGCTGTGCAACACCAATAGGCCATTCACTAGACAATGCATTCAGTGTTATCAGCCTTCTCTCACTACAAACTCATCGTATATGAAATTTTCACTATGGCACGTCCCTGTCACCGCTCATGACGTCAGCCTCATCTTTGTTGACTCTCCTGGGTATCGACTTCGAAGATGTCGGACTCAACAACAATCAACAACACGCTCGCCAGCCCAATCGGGTCCCTTGCCTCCAGTCCCGGCAGCACCCTTGCTTCCCAATCCGACTCTCCTCGAGCGCGGCTGAGCGCCAGCAGTGGCTTTGGCTTCGCCTCCGCCTCCGCCTGGTTTGAGATCTATCAGAATGAGCCTGAGAAAGCTCCGGCCACGCAGTTGCTGAGTATTAGCGATAATCCCGATCATCTCGAAATTGATACCTCCAGCCTTGAGGAGCACAGCCACTTCAGTGACGACAGCACCGACAGCATGGAAGACTACGATATCGTCAGTGGAGCGAGCTCCCCAAGCTCCCTGTCCTTCCAAATCGTTGAGCCAGAACGCGAAAAGCTCTACCCGATCGCCATCACCGTTTTCGTGGGAAGTCCACGTGCTCAGAAAGATCGACCCGTCCATCTCAGCTGCATTGTACTCACATCCGATTGGCGCCAGGACTTTTTCCCGAACTCATGCAAAAACAAAGCCGACAAGGCAGTGAAATGCAAAGACATCATAAAGTACAACGAGCAGTGCCTTCCTCAGATCGCCAAATTTGCCTGTGCAATTTGCTCTGAGCCGACTCCCGCCCGCAAATTCGTGCACCAGCCCATTATGTTCACACGGACTAGCAAATCCGGACTGGAGGATGGACCCCGACGCCGGCTGATCATGCGATTGGGACAGCTTGTTCATAGTCGGTGGAGGTTCCCTGATATGAATGCCACGCTTGGTGGATCAGCGGAAGCTCAGGTCTTTGAGGTTGCCATTCCGGTGTGCAAGAGGTCAGGCTGCGGCATAGCAGGTCGGACGTCTGCCCACCAACTCATCCGGGCCATTGTGTCGTCCAATGCGGACTTGGATCCCTCAGCGCTGGACCTCGACATAGTTATTCCATTGGCTGATTTAGGAACCGGTATAGGAGATTGGACACCAGACAGAGCAGAGATTTTGGTGACGAAGCTCGGGCCGGACTGTGTGCCTCTGGAGGTACGCAGCCATGTCGAAGCATGATGGCTGGTCGGGTCAGGAGTTTGGTTATGATCTACGACTTCAACGCGGTAGAGAGACGGCGTATGAGCAAGATGGAGGCGTCACAGAGAAATATCTTATCATGAAATTATGACTTGGGAAATATTGGTGGATTTACGAATGACGAACGGCCGGAAATGAAAGACGCGACAGATAGAAGTCGATCTAGAACAGACCGAAAAACGGAATTTCATGCCCATCAATTCCGCAGTAGACAGTACCCACCGTAGCCTGCCAAGTAGGAATACGTACTCCCGACCTAGACTCCAGCATCCAATGTATCAAGTATGGCCTGACTCGGCAACCCACCCACACGTCCACGTAGACTACGTACATCAGATAAGCCCGATCTCAGGCAACCACCAACCAGACCATACCCACATCCTTCAAATTAAGCATACACAACACTACTAGAAAGCTAGACCATTCGACAAAGGATCTGTCATCCGCCCCAATAATACACCGATCGTACGAAATCTACGGTAAAACCCACTGCCACCGCGGCAAATCATCCCTTAATCTACCACCCGCAGTGTGAGTGGATCCCCACCTCAAACAAGCTTAAGTATTAGACTAGACTAGCCACCGTGAGACGAAACACCAGAACACTTCTAGACCGGGAGATGGGCTCCACCCCCTGTTTGAGATGAAGTGATGGACGTATAATGCGGTTGTTATATAGGTGGATGGGGGTGAATATATAAAGTAGGAAAGTTCCTGATCGGTCACCACCAAACAAAAAGCTTATACAAGAAGCAAAGAAGAAGAGAATAAAAATCATGCAGACCAAATCCCTCCTCACCATCCTCCTCAGCGCCGCTCTGGCTGCTGCTACCGTTGACCCCGCCAGCTCTAACACGAAGGGAAAGTGTCCGGGTACTTATAACTGCTCTGGTGTGTATCCTGTCCTATCCTATCCATATTCCATGATAATATTACCTACCCCCTACAAGCATAAGAAACAATGATGCTAATAATGATACTAAAACTATAGCCGCCAAAACCTCCACCGCCATCCAGGCAGCTGAGTGCTCCCACAACACTCGTACTTCCGGTACGTCCACACCTCAGTCCCTAAAGATAGAATAATGTACTGATAAATGCAATGTAGGAACCCAAACCTTCGCCGTCTTCGTCACCGACCACGAATACGACTCCTCCTACGGCGCTCCCTACGGTACCTGCAGCGCGTACACTTGCACCGCGCCGACGGATAGCGAGATGACGGATGATGATGATGATTGCTGGACGTTCTTCTGGAAGTAAGCCTTTCTACACTTCCTTTTCCATCGTGTGGTATGTTTCATGATAGGTAAATGCTAATTGATTGTTCTCTAGCGACAACGGCGAGTCCTCCGGCGTTGGAACCGGATGCATTCGCAGCCCTGACGACGGAACTTGTGGATGTGAGGACTCTGATGGAACTTTTGTTTATGGGGGAACGGATTGCTCTTAGTTAACTTCCTGGGATAACTTACTGAGTGTTGGGTAGAAGGGATGCTACTGGGTAGTATGTATATTGATTTGCAGGTTCTGAATCATTGCATTATTTAATTACTAGTAGTATATCCCGGAAGTGATAAATCGCATAATAGCATAACAGGTACAGTACATGATCATAGCATCCGTATCCTTAACATAAACATGCCAAAAACGGCACCTGTTCTACTCCAACCACGCACTCTCAAGTCACAATTATGTCCTCCCCGACCCATCCAACTCCGACGGCCCCCTAACCATCGCCTCATACATCACCTGGCCCTGTCCGTGTCCCTGCCCATGCGGCCCCTGATAAATTCCTCCCCCAACCTGCTGCTGCATCTGCATATGCTGAGGCGACTGCTGCCCATTCCACCCCCACATCCCCTGCCCCAACGGCGGCGACAACCCCGACCCAACAGTCGCACCACTAAACTCACTCTGCGGCACCAATGCACTTCCCCCATCCATCTCACTCTTCCTCTGCCCTCCACCACCACCACCGGCAGCAGAATTACCACCCCCCTTCCCCGTACTCTGCCCCGGACTCAACAGCGCCGCCCACCTCGCGGTCCGCTCATGTCTTCCATCCTGACTGGACATCCACTGCCGATAGACGCGATTTCTTCCGAGGAGGAAGAACAACGCGCCGAGAATGGCGATGAAGGCCACGGAGCCGATGACGATGCCGACGATGGCGCCGGTGCTGAGCGCTGGTGAGCTTGTGGAGGGGGTGTTGGAGGGGGATGAGGTTGAGGTTGAGGTGGATGTCGGGGCGATGGTGCCTTCGGCGGGGATGGATTGACCCGGGACAAGCATGTAGGGGTAGGTCTTTGCGCGGTTGTATTGCGATTCGAAGGTCATGGTGGAGTTCTGAAGGGTTAGCTTCGATGAGAGAGGGGAAGGGGAGGGGGAGGAAGTACTGGGTTTATGACGCCGACCATGCCGTTGCCGATGCAGGAGTCTATGGCGGTGCAGTAGAAGAATGTGGGCTGGTGGTTGTTAGTGATGCTTTGGATGGATTAGGGTGGGTGGATGGGGCGATGTACCTCAGTGTCGTTGACAACTAAGGACCAGGTTGGGGGCTATGTTATGGGATTAGTATGAGGACGAGGCTGATATGAAGACTATGGGAGTAGTCATACCGGTCCAACCAACTGTCCATCCTCCTCATTGAAACTATTGAATATTCCCGAGTAGAAGATCTCTCCGCTGGCAGGCACACAAGGCGCAAGATAGTCTGCTTTCACGACGGAGTGATTTCTCGGATAGAACTCGAAGACGATAACATCGCCGACCGCAGCGGAGACATTATGAGGCGAGTATTGATGGGGATCTTCCTTTGAGCCGACCTGAACAGTATGGGTTGCTATCGCGGTGGTTGTGGTGGATGTTGCTCTGGTGGTGGAAGTGGTTGAGATGTCGGTCGTGCTGCTGTGAGATTGGGCTGATGCAGTAGTAGCGAGCAGCATCGCCACGAGGGCGAGCAGATGGGCTGCCATTAATATGGATAGCATTTCATCAGGTATGTGCGCGATATACTTAAGATTCAAGACGGGGAAGTCGTTCCGAAGGACAGGCAAAAAAGGTCGACGGGCGGCCACAAAGAAAGCGAGAAAAAAAGACGGTTGCCCCTGGATGAGATAACAAAGAAACTACGATGAGATGGCCGGAAAAGATGATGCATAGGCAGATGCCCGAATGCGCAGAAGAGGGGCTGAGGATTATTTTTCCTCCTACGAGATGCATGGATCATGGATGGACAGCCTCTTCCCAACTCACACCTCGTGTTCCCGCATCCATCAGCCCGTAGCGCTGACTGGTTAGGGCTGGACACGATGATCTTGGCAGCAGCGGCCTGTCCTGTCATCAGGCGGGATGGATTTGTGTGTAGCTTCAATATGTTTTACATTCATTTGACAGGTCTCGGAGGTAAGAATAGGGGTCTCTGTAGTATCTGTATCTAGACTGACGTGCTGTTTGACACTTGGATCAATGTGCGTCGGTATGTGGTCAACGGCGGATTGCCAGCGTCTTTTACTCGTAAAATCAAATGCAACAATTGGCATCCATCCTCGTCGCAGCTGTCCTCCGCTGTCGGAACCTTAACCGTTGCGACTCTTCCACCAGAAGTGGTGGTTATGTTCAGATCGGCTACGTTCCCCTCCGTGCTCGCGTTATCCGTGGACGGCTCCAGATACTGGAACCATTCGAAGGACAGACCATCTCCATCGGGATCATATGTCTCTCCCGCATCCAAGGTGATTCTCGCCCCCACGGACGCATTGACAGTGACAGGATGCAACCCGCCCGCCCCGTTTACAACCACCACCGGGTGATGGTTCCATGTCTTGTTCGTCTCCGAAGCAGACAACGTCCACTGCATGCGTGCCGCAAAGTCATTCTGGTATGCCTCTCTCCAACGCCAGATTGTCGCTTTGTTGGAGGTGAAAGTTTCGTTGTTCATGCCGATGACCTGGTCCTCCGTGTCGCTGTAGTGATTGTCCCAGTCACATGTTTCACACACTGGCGCGTACCGTCCGCCCCAACTGCCATAGTTCGGGTGTTCGGGATCACCCAGGCCGTTCTGGATCATATACAGCAGCGTAGGGCTATCTCCCTCCATGATATATTCGAAGTCGGGATACTTGGCTCCGAGTGGTCCGATCCGGATGTTCTTCTTCAGCCATTCGTGCGTCACATACGACGAATCTGGGCCGCCTTTATCGAAATCATAGTTGATCTCGCCTGAGATCCCCGACCAGGCAGCCACTCCATACTGATTAAAGGCGTGCATGGAGTTTATAAAGTGGATTTCTGGCCAGTTGTTGCGGATCCAAGCCCCAGTGTCGTCTTGATCGGAGATGGTGTAGACCCATAGGTTTGAGCGGAATGATGCTGCCTCAGAGGGAGAATATGTGAGAGATATGTTCAGGAGAGCCTGTGCAAGGACGTTGTCGCCGCCCCAAGACAAGACCCAAAGGGGCTGACCAGAGGTCGTGTTGGTGAGACTTTTGATGAGGAGTTCAGCGCCGGGGCTATAGGTGTTGTTGTCCTTGAGAGCCTCCATGCCATATACCTTCATTGGGTTAGTGATGGTCAATGTCTGTGGTGCAGGCTGGACATACCGGAAGACCATGAGACACAATCCCTCTCATGTATTCTGCCGAAGGATACGGCGAATCCTCGGGAGCATGTTTATTCAGGTTATCTACCACCTTCGCGTAGGCATCAATGGTCTCCAGCATCAAGTCCGGGCGTACTTGGTCCTTCAGCCATGTGGAAGTGACGGCCACAAGCCCTTCATTTTGGAACTGGTTACTGTAGACGAGATAGCGAACAAGAGACTCGGAGTCATCTGGTTCATTGGCAATATCCGACAAAATAAAGATGCGCGGCTTGGTCGGATAGGAGAGAAGGGATCCGTTCGAGCTGGCTCGGCCATGAGGGAGAGCCAGAGTCAGCCCTGCGCCGAGGAGCGGTAGACACCCAAGAAACCTCATTTTGAGGATGAATGTGACTGAAGAGAGACTTGTCCAATCTTACTCACAACAGCTGGAACGACAGACATATTTATACCCTTTGCTGGACGCAAACGACTTGTTTGTCCCCGGTGGAAATTCGGATGATGGTCATGATGCAATGCCGCGATGACACCCGACAAGAGCCATATTGACTACTGATCGGCATGCGGGGATGCGGATGCCTGCATTGTGGGGTAATAGTCACCGAAGAACCCTCCTCAGACATCACAAATGGAGATGCTGGACGAGAATCGCTGAAGAATATCCACTCCACCTCCCGCTTTGGCGTGGTTAAGCATTCCGCTTTCAGTCAGTCGTGGCTCGAACTTCCCGATCGGGAATACCTGAGGTGCTCCTCCACAAATTTATCCTGAATAGCCGGTTTGCCTGGATTTCGCGAGTCAACTATTGAACGATTCTTGCAAGACCAGGGTGAAATAGTGGGGAGTGTGAGGGGTCTATGCCAGCTCATGACCTGGGCTGTATTAACTGTTTCCCTTCCGTTGTTTCCGGGGATATTGCCTGAGAGAGAAGACTCATTAGCCAGCTGCGCTCATGTTAGCAGTGGGTTCAAGGTGGACCCGTGTGCTTTGCTGCACAGTTCTTATTTGTTTGCCTGCTGGCCCGCTTTGACTGGATTATTGAGCACAGGATATGCCCGAATAATAACTTTCACTTCGCTATTGTGCACCAACTTGCCAGCTTTAGTAGTTTGGAAATCTCTGCTTTGAGTGTGTTCACATTAGAGCAATTAAAACTTTTGCACTACTACTAACTGGTACATTTTGTGCTAAATATCAATGAAAGACTGATACTGCTGACCTGTTTAAAAACCACACTCATAAGGGCAAGCTCACAACACTCGCTTTCGAGGACAGCACATCGTTCCCCCAATCCTCCTCCTCCAGATCTTCGTCATCCAGTGCCACCGGATTCAGCGCCAGCGATCCCCGAGGCACAAACGAGGAAACAAGGACCAGCAAGGATATCACACTGAACTGCACACTGGCCACATTCCGAATAGCCAGATGGATATCACCCCCTCCAACTGGACCTCCGGTTTCCACATATACGTGGTCAATATAGCTTCCCAGCAGCGGAGATGTGATGGCATAGAGGACAATATAGGTAGAGTACAAGAACGCCATGACAGCCCCGAGCGCAGAAACATTTTTCGACGTTGACTCCATTCTTGTCAGCGTCGCCTGGATATACGCCGCCAGCGAGACATCACCAGCCGCCCATCCGAAAGAAACAGGGACAAAGCTGAGGGCAGCGAACAAAGCATCTCGGACCCGATGCACTGGGGGTTTCCAGAATGGCAGATACCATGTGATGAGAAGCATGAGCGCATCAACTCGCAGCCAAGGCATGGGGGTGCGCACGCGGTTATTGAGGAAGATGACAAACAATGCGCCAAACAGTTCTCCCAAATTGGACCCTCCCACCATAATCTGCGACCATGCGGCGTTGCCTAAATAGCGACGCGCAAGTGCTGGCATAACTGCACTCTCGAGATAGCGATGAGCATACAAAGCAATTGAATACCCGGGCAGCAACCAGATAAATTTGCGTGTGGTGAAGATGATCCGTGCACCCACCCAGATGGACTCTAGAAAGAGCTTGATTCCTCTCAGCGCTGCTCGGATATATGTTGTCTGGTCAGGGGTTTCTGCCGTTTTGTGAGCTTTAAACACATCATCTCCAAGGAAGGACCAGGCAATAGCCGCGAGTGTAAAACAGATGGGTGTCACGAGGAAAGAATAATTGTTCCCCAGGCGAGGAATCAGGGCGAGTGCAGTGCAGAATGCGCCAGCGGTACCTGATACCTCGTAGAAAATGTGAACCAGAGCGTCCAGGCGTCGTAGTCTCTTTAGGTTTCCGCCAACAATGTCCCTGGGAATGATGCGGCGGATGAGCTCGACCATTCCATAACTAAAACCACTCACGCAGTAAATAGGGATGATACTGTCCGTGTTGTAACGACCATAGTAATGGAAGTCATTCTGTGGGTGGTGAGGACGGAAGGCAGCCGGGACAAAGGTGCCACCAGTACAAGCATCTATGATCAGAAGGATGGCGCTGAAGATGCCAAAGACCAACATGGCTGCCATCAGAATCAACCGAGCTGGGTAGCGACGAATCAGGGGAGCCATGAGTATTGACCCAACACACTGGCAGGCTTGATTAAGGCCGACCATGAGCCCGACGCGTTGAAAGGTCTTGGGAGGCATGTTGGCGCGAAGGGCATCATAATCGTAGCGGTTGGTGGCGAGTGTGATAATCGATCCATTGAACGCCTCCAGACCAAACTTGTAAAGTATGATGCCTAGAATGTAGCAGGCAGCTTCGCGCCGTTCTTTGGGCGTGAAGTCATTCCAGCCGTTGCGAACGCTTTTGAACAGCCCCATTGTGTGGGGATGATCTGCTGTCACAAATCAGAGAAAGAGACGAGAACTGAACAGCGTAGAGTCACCACAATATATGGAGCTAAACAGGATATTCTGCGAAGTGAACTGCGATGTTTACATGAATCTGCACGGCCAGGGAATAAACAGCAGAGACGCTCTGGCGTGCCATGTTGATGAAGTTCAGCTGGGAATTCCTACGCAGGGACTAAGTACACTACATTGTGGATGGCAGAGTTGGAGTGAATGGATCCCAAGATTGAATCTGGAATGAGGGTAGTTTGGTGTGAAGGAGCCATGACAAGTGAATGGAAGCTGAAGCTGACAGAGATTCTAGAACTAGCGAGCCTGAGGCAGCGAGGCCAGCACATGCATACACATAGCACACGTCTATCAAGGCCTGAGGATCTGTCATATTGACTGTTCTCTGCTGTGGCAGGAAAACTCATGTCGCAATACCTGACTGATGTACTGCAACAGACAGATGCATTGTCATTATGTATCCGGCTACTACCCACCAGGCTGCACAGCTTATTAGACTTGACTTATAGTTGTACCCCAGTCCGGGAGCCAGTCCGGGGCACCTGGAATGATTGGACCGCCATTGCGGGCGATTGTCCAGCTGAGCAGCGACCGAGATCCACCTGGATGTCTTGCGCTGGACGTTGAAGAGAAAGACAAAGTGCATCCGATGACGACATTTTGGTCATCCTGTGCGCTCGGAGCGCTTTCTGAAGCCAATCTTCGTATCGCCTTTTGGGCCTCACCTCCCCTGATCGTCTCTACAATCCTGGTTGCCCGGTCTGGTTTGCAACACCAAGCTTAGGCTTACCCCACCCTACAAAGTCCGCTGCAGCATTAACCTGGTTGCTGCTTGCAAGCCAGTTGTTCTTCAATTCCAGAATGACATATCAGATGATGAGCTACTGGCGCGCCCGATGATCCCTTGGAAGGATCGCCTCGTGAAATAGACCCCACCAAAGCAACAAAGCAACAAACGGTCAGTCAATGGGTGAAACACGCCAGAAGCCGGCGAAAGAAAGCCACAAAATGCAGCCAAAAAAGGGGGGAGTATGGGTGAAGAAATAGAAAGAGGATATTAATCTCACGGAGAATTGGAATTGGGTATTTGAGTCACCACGTCGTGCGTGCTTGCTTCTTGCATGGTGTCGACATACAGACGGACCGTCTCGTGCTTGGCAGATAGGCAGGCCACGTGCATCCCCGACCGCATGTGTTTCGCCTCCCCCAAAAGATGGGAAAGGATGGGAATGCTCAGCCATCGCCCATTTTCACGGTTCCGGAGGGGTTGAAAGTTTCCTAGTCCAACCACTCCCAGGTAGCTTATTTCGTCACCATTTTACATTTTACGAAAATTTAAGAATTAGCTATCTACCTTAGTGAAGCGGCCTGAGTCAAACAGCTATGCGCTGGTGGTTTGGAGACCTCCCATGTGAGCCCATGCATGTCCGGCTTGTCGATCGGGGAGTTTAAATCTGGTCAATCTCGAGCCAGCGAGGATGCCCATTGGGAGACGCCAGAGGTACTTTGTCTTACCGCGGGTGTGGGGTGGAGCAGTGAGGTACCCATCCGGTACCGCTGCGGTGCAATCAAAGAATGACATTGAATTGACACCCCGTTCTCAGCTTAGCAGCAACCACAACTGACTTGGACTAACCTAAAAAGATAAAAAACTAAAATGGAGGGTGGTTCTTATCGGGAATCGCCTTCGAATCTTTTCCCCCCCAAATCCTAAAAATCTCAAAACGCCATCGTCCACTCAGCCGCGTGATCCCCCGCCCACCATCCTCACCGACTGATTCGACGCTGTGTTTCTTTTTATCATTCATATCATTGTTTGTTTGGGCTTTCTCCTTTTTTTTTTTATTCCTTCCTTTTTTCCCTAGCTCTTCGTGCACCCTGAGGATATATATGGCTTCCTTCCTCCCCCACCATGTTGCCTGCTGAGCCTGCGCAGTTGCCGGTTCTGCTTTTCCGTCGCAGGCCGTGATCGTGTTTAGTCGCTTCGAGGTGTGGAGATACTATATCATTCTCGGGTTGCTTGACCATCGTTCGATCAACAAGTGGCCTGTTCAGTCTTTCTGCTCTCTTTGTGTGTACATTATTTCATCTGTGTGGTTAGAAACCCACAACGCATGTTCATGCTACCCCTAAAATCTCCTCTCCTCCACCCTCCCAAGCTATCGCCAGGGTCCTAGCTAACTAGACGCTACTTGCAGATACTAGCTTCGATTCACCAATTGCGGGACCCCTTCCCCGAACCGTTGCTTTGATTCCACTGCAATGGCGACCGGAGAAGAGCCTGCCACGGCGTCCCCCGCACAGCAGTCGAACCCAGCTAGAAGCTGGTGGAAACGGCTGCGGGGGTCTAATGCCCCTGAAACGCCCGCCATTACCACGAGTCAAAGCCCTTATCGCCCCAAAAGGACTCTGGGTATCCTAAGTGACAAGGAGACGGATGAAGTGCCTGGTACGTTGCAGCTGTAGGAACAATCATTGGCCTTCGAGTACGATCTTGCTGACATTCACATGCGAATTTAGGGACCGTTCTTCTACTCTCGTCAAATCGCAATGAGCCTCTCGGTCTGGAACATCAACCGCACCGCGAATCGCATTCGTCGCTGCCATCGCCTTATCCACCGTCCCGTTCCTCTTCTCGTGCTTCCCGTGCCTCTCGTGTGCGCCAGCAGAAAAAGAAAACACCGGATGGCAACATAGTGTTGGATCCTCAACCCGATGACTCCATGAACGATCCTCTCAATTGGCCTGTATGGCGACGAGATGCAGCTCTGGTGTCGTTGGGGTTCTATTGCCTGATGGGAGGCGGTATGACCCCAATTTTGGCCGCCGGTTTCAGTCAGGTAGCTGCTGCGTATGATGTGACCACCCAGAAGGTCGCATATACGACGGGGTTGTACATGTTGGGTCTTGGGATTGGGTCCGTGATCATGTCTCCTACAGCTATTCTGTATGGCAAGCGGCCGGTATACCTTCTCGGAGCGACCCTTTTCATTATTTCGGCGGTCTGGTGTGCATTGTCACCAAACTACCCCAGCTTGGTCATCGCTCGTATCTTCCAGGGCATTGCAGTAAGCCCGGTCGAGTGCCTCCCCTCTGCCACTATTGCTGAGATCTACTTCCTGCACGAACGAGCGTACCGGGTCGGTATATATACCCTCCTGCTCCTAGGAGGTAAGAACTTGATTCCCCTAGTGAGTGCAGCTATCATTGGGAGTCTGGGGTGGCGCTGGGTTTTCTGGATCGTTGCTATCGTCGTTGGCGCTTGCCTCGCCCTTCTTTTCTTCTTTGTCCCCGAGACATTCTGGGATCGCACACCTCGGCCACGGAAGGCTCACAAGCGTCCCAGCTTTTACCGTAGCGTGTCGAACATTGTGTCCCATGGATTGCGCGGTCGACCGCCTCACGCTCATCGCCTAGAGGAGAATCCGCCGGATGATGACCCTAGCTCTCTAGAGCCGAAGAAGTCCAAGAAGGGTCATGTTGGATTTGTGGATGACCATGACGAGGAACCAGAGACCATCTCCGAGAAGATAGAGGAGCCGGCTGGCCAGGATCCTATATCGTTAACACCAGAGCGTCCTGCCACTGAGTCGACGCCAAGCGAAGACCCTGAGAAGGCGGATGGGCTCCTTCATCCTCCGCCATTGGCACACATTCACCCCCATGATTTAGAAGCTGCTCGGGAAGCGGCGATCTCCCCAACTCGCAGTGAGTCGCTGGACCCGGGTCCGCCGATCACGTCGGCGGCTCAGTACACCAACCGACTCCGGGATCAGCCGCCCATCCCGTTTTCTTACTATCTTCGCCCGTGGAATGGCCGGATTGCTCACGACAACTGGCTACGCGTCGCGGTGCGTCCATTCATACTCTTTGCATATCCCTCTGTGCTGTGGTCGACTGTAGTGTATGCTTTGTCTGTCGGCTGGCTCATCGTGCTGTCTGAGTCGGTTGCTACAATTTATGAGCAGCGAGACACTTACAACTTCACCGCACTGCAGACTGGTCTCATCTACATCTCGCCCTTCGTGGGCGGCTTGCTGGGTACCGCTGTTGCTGGTAAAGTGTCTGACATTATTGTGCAATATATGACACGACGCAACGGGGGCGTCTACGAGCCGGAGTTCCGGCTGGTGATGGCCATCCCCATTGCCATTTCGACCACCATTGGACTGATGGGATTCGGTTGGAGTGCGCAGGAGAAGGATGCTTGGATTGTGCCCACCATATTTTTCGGCATTATCTCATTTGGATGCTGCCTGGGAAGCACGACATCCATCACCTTTTGCGTCGACAGCTACCGCCAGTATGCAGGGGAGGCACTGGTGACATTGAACTGGAGTAAGAGTAAGTTGCACCAAACATAGCATTCCCGAGTGATGTGGATCCGCAAACTAACGATGGATGCAGATGTTTTCCATGGGCTGATCTTTTCGCTGTTCATTGTTGACTGGCTGGATGCGGAGGGCTCCCGGTTGGTGTTTATCGCGCTGGGAGTGATCCAGCTGGGCTGTCTATTGTTTTCGATTCCCATGTACATTTATGGCAAACGGGCCCGGATGTGGACGGTTCGGATGCGCCTGATGGAACGATTCTAGAGGGCCGAGTGGCCGGGCCGGGACCCTATTGGAGGGACGGATCGGATGATTCTTGATTTTGGGTGTAGATCTGGGCTGTATCATGATACCTATCTATATTAGATCGTACATATAGTTGACTATTTGCTGACGATTGGAGCTGTCATATCGCCATCGAGCCCCATTCGATTGTGGGAGCAAGCCCTGCGGGGGTGCTGGGGCTGATGTCAAGGGAGGGAGAGAGGGCGGAATGTCATACAGCATCCACAATGAGTAATTGTGCCCTGCAAGTCATCTCTTTCATGAATATGAAGAGTGGTGTGAGTGTGTGTGCATATGTCCCGGGCCACCCACACAGCCACCCCTACACATCCCAACAGTCACCAA